AGAGAACTCAGCATAACAGATTCAAAATGTCACTTCCCACATAGGTCAGAGGGGACACTTTGTGGTCAATACATGGTTTATGTCCTTACCTTTGAATCTCTTTTCATTTAATTTCACCTTCTAGGCTTCTTAAAAAAAAAAAAAGTCTAATTGTAGAAAAGTGAATGATACTATTCTGCTGAAGACCAGTATTTTCTAGAATACCTGTTTATGTTTTTCACATTCAATTTGGTGAGATAATTCAGATTTTCATAAATGCATAGGTCACTTTAGTATGACTATTCATATATGTGCCTTTGTAGAAGTTTGTATGTAACCTTTGCAGGACTCTAATAAAAAAAAATTGGAAGAGCAAACACATGGAACAATGGCATGTATCATTCTGGAATGTGGATATATGCTGATAACGACAGAACATTTGAAAAAGATGTTAATTAGACTTCATTTGTGAGATCTTGTTTGAAAGCTCATTTTGAATTGCATGAAATACAGTTTTATGCCCCAATTATAAAACATTAAGCAGTAAATTTAAGCAAATACAAACAGTGTTAAGACAGAAGTTAGAACACATGATGTGAGTAATTTTTGAAAAAATATGTATGTCCTGTAGTTAAAAGAATTGATATAAGAGTACAGTAGTCGTGCTTGGTAAGCGATGATGTAGGGAGGAAGGAATGTACTTGAATTTTGACCAAATATATAAAGTGTTTTGGAGGTATAGACCTTGCTCTAAAGGGAGACCAACTTTAAATAATCTGAAGGTAACTTAATGGAAAAAGCAGGGAAACAGTGGAATGTCATCCAACAAGAAGGCATTAAAGATGCTTTCAAAAGTGAAAAGATAACTAAATCAGTATATGTTGTAAATTCTTGATAAGGTAGCTTTGCTCTGTGAGAGGTCACTTTCACTCTAAAATGTTCTAGTTTTTGAGTTGGCCATATTTTTCAGTATGACCTAAGGTTATTTTTCAGCTTTATTATTCGAAGCAGATTTTACAGAATATATTTGTCTTCAGGATTACGAAAGCTGTATATAAAGCCCTATATTATATAGAGTGTATGAAGGCAGACATATAAAACTGTTACCTTTTCCTACTTATGCATTACACGAAATAGAGTGTGTAGTATCTGCTGGTATGGTGCAGTCTTTAATAGATTTGGAACAGTGTATTTTTTAGGTGGTTTAGCATATTGGTATCAAGAATAAAGAAAACAATTCTTAGTTGGGGGTTTTAGAAAAGATGATGGGCCAATAAAATGTGGAATACTTGGGAAGTAAAACTGACCTAGGAGCGGGAACTCCTACATCTATCAGAAAAACTGCAAGCAGTCACTGCTGTGGTCAGCTGACCAATTCTAAATATATATGAAAACAGATATGGCTACTGCATGACTAGAAGACTTCTTTTAATGTTTTTCAAAGAAAAGCAATAAGATTTTCTGAAATAATCTTATTTCTTGAAGATAGAGCATAATTTTAATGGCAGAACAGAGTGCTCAGATATGCTCAGCTGCCATGATATCTCTGGAAATATTCAATTTTCCTGTAGCAGCCATTGCCATGGTATGATCCCTGTAGAGTGGGTATGGATATTCTCTTTTTTATTTAACCTGTTTGTAGCAGGAAATACACTTTTCTCCCACAAATGTTCTCTCAAGGTGGACACCTTTAGGTGATATTTGGCACTTAATGGATAGAGGTGACCAAAAAGGAAAAAGCTAAACTGGTGCCTTTCATGCACTTTTTTTACACTTGTGATGAACTGCTTTGAAGGAAGAAGTGACAGTAAAGATGCATTATATTGAATGAAATTATAATGTGGTGCATTCTGGGACACTTAACTGAATCCATCATAACTGAATTTTTTTTCCTTCCCTACTCAAATAGGAAAATAGGTTGAAAGCAGTTTGCCAATGGAGTGATTAGTACAGAGCAAAATACCAATAACCACTTATATCAGGTGCTCATATTAGTGGCCTGTTCCAGAAGTTATAGCAATCTCCAGCTGCTTCAACACTTAATAGTTGTTCCATTGTATCCAGGTGATTGTAAGACTTTGTTGTTTTGATAACAGGAGACTTTCTCTCCTTACGTTTTACAGCTTTTTGATGTTTACTCTATACTAATGCAAAAGCAGTCACCTGAATATTTTCTTCGAACAGGGACAAATCTTTGAGTGTATATACCATGTTTTCTTCTCTTTCACTGGTGCCACTTGTCATCTTGTGGAAGCAGAATTGTTTCCATCTCTAACTTTTTCTGTCTAGAAAAACGAGAGAGCAAGAGGGTTGTAAATTAAATTTACACTTGAATAATATCCTTTTGATAATATACAAGATGTGTTAAAGGTGTCATTACATTTGGACCAAACTACAACTGCTTCAGAGAAAATTCTTTCCTTGCAAGAATCTTTTTAATGCCAAAAGGTGATCTGATGCAGGATGAAATCTCTCTTTCTGGGTATAGTAGCTGCCTTATGCATATCTACTTATTACTTAAAAAAAAAAAAAAAAAGCACTATTACATGCACCTGCATCATTCAGGGATTCTAAAGATTCTTTTCACTGTGTAATACCCATTTCCTATGAACTTATTAAAAATACAGATACCAGAAGTACATTGATCTTGAGGTTTTTTTTCTTCTTCTTCTCTGGACCATAGTAAATTTCTTTTTTAATTGAAAGGAAACTTGTGCCAGAATGGTGATATTTTGACATGGTGTGATAAACTTAGGATAGTACCTTATGCTTGCTCTTTCAAAAAGTAAATTGTGGAATATTTGTTCCATTGTTGGTGGGTAAATAATTGTATGTATGCATGTGTAGAACAGTTGAAATAAAGAAGGAAAAACCTGAAATCGGCAGCTCAAATGATATTCCACCTCATCAGTCCTAGAAATGATAAAAAGAATTATGTCCTATGAATATGACATATGCACTATAAGACTATCATAGGCTGGAACATGCTAGCTTCCGTTTCTAAGCATTGTTTGACCAAAAGAATTCAAATTACATTTTTCTGTAATAGCATGATTAGTTTTAAAAATTGTATCCACAGATACTTAGGGAATGTGTTAATGCAGAATGAGATATTTGATTTCACTTCATCAGGGGAGTTTGTGTGCAGTTTGTGTGCAGTTTTTATTCGCTTTTGAACTTTATGTCTTTACCAGTCATACCTTGACCTTCAGGATTGAAGTATGAAGAGAAAAAAAAGTATTAATGAAATTCTGTCAAAGCTGCAGCGTGTCACCTGGTTTCTTATCCAGAGCAATGCAAGGCTTTCAAGAAAAACTCCAGCTCAGCCCAAATTCATTCAGCACTGGGCTCAAGCTCACTCAAAAGGGTTTTAAGCCCTCACAAACCTTTTGAAGAATCTGGGCTGAGTTTCAAGTCGGTATTGAGACCTGTAATCAGGCAAGATTCACATGCTCTTCAATTTCCTTGAGAACATTTACCCATCTCTCCCTCAAGTTTTTGTGGTTTGCTGGGATTTTTTTCAGCATAACAACGATAGAGCCCCAGTCTCCAAGTAGTCATTACTAAATACAATGTTTCCTGCTGCAAACGTCCTGGCACTGCCCACTCTACACAGCAGACTACATTGCTACTAATAAAAAGTATTTGCTGCATTGGACAAAACTCTAATCATTGTTGTGACTGCAGAAAGTACAGGGAAATTCCATTTGTGTGTCTTTGCTACAGATTTCACATGCCTATTTTAGTGGATGTTTTTGCGTATTGCTGTTGATTGAAACATTGTAACAAAAAACCAGTGATTATCTTTGTACCCTAATTATGTCATTGCTTTTCTCTTTTTTGCAAAATTTAAAATTAGGATTTACCTTTTCAGAGGTAGTGTATCTACAATGTAGAAAAATATTTTTAATTATTACTGTAGAGCTATGTGGGGAAAGTGGAATAAAAATAGCTTAAAGGTTTCTTCTTTTTTAGATTTCTATATGAATTTTATACCATTGACATTTGTTACTAGGACAGTTTAGAGCTTCTTTATGTTCCAAAACCTACTGACTCTTGGGAATCCTAAAATTCTCCTTGCAAATTATCAGGCCAGAAGTCCAGCAAACTGAAAAGGAGAATCAAGTACCAAACTAAAAAGCTTTCAGCTAAAGCCTGAAGATCTTAAATCAGATTTAAGTTGTGTTACCTGAATATCTACATAAATATAAATCTCACCTAAGCACACATGCACAGAGCAGACTAGCGATTGCTTTGCACCTTGGTGATACCTAAGTTAATGTGCATATTCTCATGAATTTTTTTGTATCAGAATACCCATCTAAATTAAGTGGAATGGGTACAAAATAATTATGGAAAAACATAATGCAAATAGATAATTTTTTTCATCAATGTGTCACAATGACAATTTCTTTTTTCTAACTTCCTTCACGTGATCACCAAATGATAATTTCCTTCATATAAAACCAGTTGTGTTTTCCATGTGGGCCTGCTATAGCTCTAGTACTTCACTAGTTGATGTGTGTACACGGAGAGGGAAGAGTTTTTATTTGTAACTGTCAAGCAGCTTTTAGAAAAGCTATAAGGCTGAATCCTTCCTGCTCTTCATTCAGCTTTTTCTCAGTAGACAAGTTTCCATATTATTTAAGTTTTTGTAATCATTATTTAAGATCTGTTTTTAAGTCGCTTTCATTACTTCATTGTTGTTTATATTGCTGCAAGATTATTATTTTTTTTTAATTTTCAAAGCTTGCTTTGAGTTTGGTGGGGGTGTTTGTGGTTATGGTTTTGGATTTCTTTTCAATTGGGTTATCAAAGTCCATGTAGTTTTGTTTGTGTGGGTTTTTGCTGGATGGAGTTTTTTTTGTTTGTTTGTTTGCTTTTCTTTTAGAATTGATCTATATGAGTATATCCTCAGGTGGTTTCTGCACATTTTACACGTGCCATATTTACAATTAAAAATATCCTGAAACGTATTGATCTTTCACCTTGTTACTAATTATTTGATTGTAATTTTACAGCTAAAATAGACCAAGAAAATGAAGAGAAGTCACTAACAGAAGCACATAAAAGGTAAGAAAGAACAATGCATAAAACCTTTCTTTGAAAAATATGTTTTTATAGAGCTTGCTGTATTGGTAACCAGCATTATTGTATTTTTGAACAGTGATAGGAGTACACTCAGAAAACTAAGTGATATTCATTTATTGTCAATTTTAATTTGACAAATAGGAAAAAAGTTTGAAATTCTTTAGAGAGATATTGTATGTGACTCCTGTCATTCAGAAAATTCCCCAAACAATCATTATTCATTAGGTAACGTTTCTTGTGCTTATAAAATGTTAATTTTATAACAAAGAATGAAAATCTTTTTTTTCATATACTAATGGTATGTATAATTAAATGTGACTTCCTTTGTAGAATTACTACTAGATCTTCAAATACTTCTTGTAGCAAAAAACAAAATACCTCATTAAATTTCATTACAGATGTCTGCAGCTGAGAAAGTTATCAAAATTGGGAACCTCACTGCATTGCATAACTTGTGGTTTCTTCTGATGTTTTGGAAGAGTTCTGCAGAAACAATGTTTAAATGGGACAGATTTTTATCTGTCCCAGCAAGAGATCAAAATATGACCCACACCATTTATAGTCCAGATTTAGTGAAACTGGCAGTCTGTGTTTGTTTTTCTTTCACTAAATATAGCATCATCTTTTTGTACTAGCTACCACTGCTACTGAATATATACTAATGAATATATCCATTAAATATTCCCAGAATTGTGAAGTGTCTCAATAGGATTCCTGTAAAAGATATAAGTATAAAAGTTTCTAGCTTTTATTATGGTTTGTTAGCCATTCTATGGCCTTGATACCCAAATTTGCTGCCTGCAGTAATGTCACAGTGCTGCTGACATCTGGCACAGCACCACATTTTCTCTCTGTTCCCTTGGGCCATGTACTGAAGATAATAACTGAAAAGGAAACCAAGAGTAGAGTGTTCCTCTGCCAGAAGAACCTTCCTTCTTACTTGTGAGGAGATGGTGGATCCACCATTGGTGGTGCTGGATCATGATGGAAAAAAATGCAACAAAGGGAATATTGCTTTGGCTTAGTATCATACCTCTTGCTCAAGTATATGGAAGGCATTCCTGACATTTCCTAGGTTTGTTTAGCTGCTCTGTTACGTAATTCTTATCCTTAACATTTTCCTTCACGATGAAGCTTTGAGAGAAGATACTGCTATTAGGAGATTTTTGTGGTAGTTGAGTGCTCTTTTAAGGAAACTGTTTTTCCTATAAAGAAAGGATTAGAGCACAAGTCAAAACCTGACAGAAATCTAACGGCAACAGAATCCGCAATCTGTACAGAAATCTTATGACTTGTCACTATCTTTTGGTGTCTAATTCATTCTCTATTCTACTCTTTTTCCCTGACTAGGCCAGAACCATAATATCAAAAACTGTCTATGGGCTTATTTAGCATCCACAATATGGGACAAGGAAGAAAACTACTCCATAGATTCTTATTTAGCTCGATCTGCTCCTTCTGACTTGTCCTAATTCTTTCTTCTCCTGCAATGTTGAATGTAGCAGCTCCTTTTATACAGTTTGTCAAAGAAGAAAATTCAGCTTCATTGTTCCTCTTTACTGTGAATATCTAGCAAGGATATTCACGGGCACAATCTTTTGTGGAACATACGAGGAATTATGCTAGGACCATATCAGGACAAAGTAATTTTGTACTAGTATCTACATTACATTTTCTTTCTTCCTTCCACCTTTCCACTAAAATTCTTGATTAGATTAGTGGATTTGTTAAAATACTGAAGACAACTCCATGTATAGTTTTAGTACTATGTGTAATTATTTCACTAAGATCTTTAATTTAGCTTAGAAATAAAATGCCTGGGATCCATTTTGGCAGGCGTGGGTGAAAAAGAAGATGAGAGCTTAAAAAGCTAAATAAAAGATTAGTTACATTTGACTAATCATAGGTAGAATAGCAGTGCATAGGATGACTAGGCAAGCAAGTAGTGCAAGGAAAAGTGATGGATTAGATGGAGCAAAGTTAATGTGATTAATGTGCTTGGATTTTTCTTGTTGAAGTGGATAACTTCAGCCCATGTATAAGTTCAGGTCTACTGCATGAAAGCATTTCTTTACCTTTCATTAAAAACTATGAATTTTCTTCTTTTTTTTTTTTGTTAGTTTGGGCACAAAATATTAAAGCTGATGTCTCCATTAAAATACGAAAGTCTAAAAGAAAAACCCTTGCATCAATAAGAAAAAATATTTCTGAAATGAATAATGACTTGAAAATGCAGCAATGTGTATTTTTAAAAAGCTCAATTGTGCAACAGATGAACTGAAGTGGAAAGTTAATCTTACATACAAAATGAAGACAAAGAAAATGGAATGTCTGCTCCAGGGACTCCATACAGTGTATAGCTGTTCATTTGTCACAAGTGAGAAAATGTTTAATCAGTTTTGAAATGATGTATTCTCTCTTTATTTATCGTGTTTAGTGACTTTAAGAGTGTCAGTATGTAAAGTGTTTATCCAAGGGATGGATTTCTGGCACATGGATAAAATGAAAAGTGAAATGTTTAGCTCGCAATAGGCATATGTTCCAAGATCTCTCTGAGTAAGTATCCTGAGATGAGAAGAAAGCACACAGGTCTGTGTTTATCTAGCTTACGCAGGCAGACAAGGAAGGCTCCAGCCTGGTATTAACACTGAAGTGACATGGAATGTCTTCACCAAACCCCAAACAATTACATCATTCCTTTAACAATATTGATAAAGTGTAATAAGAAAGAACCTGGCACTTTCCAATTAGATCCTCATTGCTAAATGCTTGAGAAACTGTGAAATACTGTCAAGTTAAAAACACTAGTTTTGGGGGGAGGCAAACGAAGTAAAACAGAAAAGAAAGAGGAGGAGGGGGAAAGAGGTGCTTTTGTATTTTAGGAGTCCTCAATTTGGTGCCCTTTTTTTTAACTTTAAATCTGTCCAAGACTCATAGTATATGGTCAAATCACATAGCTGTGTATAACACTTAAATTACTTTATAAATAAAATTTAACATCTTTAAAAACTGGGAGATACAGTACACTTTCCACAAAGGAACAAGAGTTCTCTGTTTTCTGTATTTTCATTTACTTAGCTTTAAATATCTTTAATTTTTCAAGATGTGATTTTATTTAAGCAGCAAGAAAAAATTAAAAGCATTGTTTCCAGGTATGCTTAATAAAATCTTAGAATGAGATAGACTTTGATCACAGTATCCACAGCAAGTAGGAAGCAAGACTACAACAAAATTGGTGTCCAAATAATATGACAACTAGTGTATTGTTTACCATGCTAGGATAAAAGGTAATAACAACAGCAGCAATACAATTTTGCAGACTTATAATCAGAAATTAGTTAGTTACTCTTCTTGCATTTGATTTCTGAAGAATCAGTAGCTAAACAACCTGACTGGAATTACTAGAAACAGCATTACTAGAAATAGTGAAGCTGAAGGTCCTCTGCCTTGCTACTTGAATAACTCTACAGGAATAGCATGTAGCTTTATTACTTACTTATAATACCTCACCCACTATTGAGTTCTGATCTTCTTGGAGGGCTTCCAGATTCATGTCTTTTTCAGAAGAAAATAAATCCAGACTTGTAACACTGATCTCTCTTCCACTGAAATAGTTAAGATGATCTTTTTTTTCCCCATTCATGTCTTCTTGGAATAACATCTAGGGAATTATTAAAAAATTGAACTGGAGGTGTTTGGGTTTTATATCCGAGATACAGTCAGATAATCTCCAATTTTTCCTGCTATCTCTCAGTCTAAAAATGAAGCATCAGATTCTAAATTCAGTGCAGTAGCACTGAAAATTGCCCAGTTACTTATATTTCATATAATTTACTCATATTTATTATAATTTACTCATACTGCACTCATGTAAGAGACAATGTATGCTGAAAATTGTTTAAGAATGCATAATGAGAATATATATATTTCTTTTATAAAAGATCAAATAGAGGACTTTCTGCCTTTTGACGTAAGTATCAACAGGGGAATTTAGGATGTGTGTGGCTTGGTATGGAATGCTCATCTTTCCATGTCAGGATATTTTTATTTGGTTTATTTATAATTTGCTCCCATTACTTGCACATTCCAGTGATTTTTAGACTTTTAAGTGCTTCCTAAGTGCAGCCTCCCAGGCACCTCTTCTGTTTTCAAGACTTTTAATAATCCAGTTAGAAATGTGTTGTGGCTTTCTTTTGCTGTAGCAACAAAATGACATTAATTTTGAAGAGAAATGTTTACTTTTAAATTCCCTGCAAAAAAAAAAAAAAAATTCTCCTGACACAACAGTCTTTGCAGACTTCCATTGGCTTCACTGAACATGAAACTTGGGGAGGAACAAAGCTTTACACCTGCTTCTGAACTGACAAGCTGATGACACTTAGAGAAATAGCAGACAGTATGGTACAATGGCACTGCTGAAAAGCAACACCTCGAAATGTAGCACCTAAGTCTGGTAATCCTTTAAAACATTAAAAGTTCCTCCCACCTCACTACCCTCCACACAGTGTTTTGGATTGTTTCCAAAAGTGAACTGTAAAGTTAAAGTGAAAATTGAGTTAATGATTGAAATAAACTGGTGAAAAGCTTAGAATGGAGAGAGGTATGTAGTTTAAAAAAAAAAAAAAAAAAAGAAAGGCAAAACAACAGCACAAAACTTTTAACTGAAAGGCAAGAATATGCTATTGGACTCTGTCTTTCACTACTCTTTGGCCATTCATCCTTTGTTGGTTCTTTTACTGTTATGTCTCTCTTCTCGCTGTGTGGCTCCCAGCGTGCAGACTAGAATTGCTTACAGTAATACATTTCAGACTGTAGGTATACATTAGTTGGATCAGCAGAAAATAAATACTTGGTGCGCAAAGGAAATGTGTATAGAAGGAGCTTACAGACTGTTAAACAGTTTGGATCATTCTAGTTTAGTATCCTGTCTCTGACAAAATATCAGGACCTGTAAATATGCAGTAATGGAAACTTAACCAGCA